AGTTGTAAAAATAATAGAAAGAAAAATAATATAAAATCACAATGTGACTTAGAAGGCCCACAGGCCTGGTGGTGATAGGGGCAGGAGTGGGTGGAAGAGGGAAGATGGAAGATAGAGTGAAATTTTTTCCAGCAATGAAGGCTCCATGTACAGATTAGATGGGAGTGGAGTTCTCTGGAGAACAGAGAAAGTCATGTTTTATGTCACAGGTAAGGACAAGTGGCTAAAGAGAGCTTCAGAGAACAGGTGATGATGGATGAGCTAAATATGAATGCAAGAGTCCAATTTTCCTTGGTGGCTGGAGAGAGGACAGGTGTTTTAGTTGGAGGAGTAACATGAACGAAGAGATGGAGGCTTGAGAAAGTAGTGTTCAAGGGAATGGGAACGTTGTGGATGGTTGAAGTACCAGGATGCCAAATGGAGAGGTGGAAGATGACTTTGGAAAGAGGCGAAGACTAAGGGATAAAATACCTTCCTTACTGTTAAGGGGCTTGATCTTTCCTGTGGCACAAAAAGAAAGGATTGCTGAATATAGGTCAATGTCACCAACCATACCATTCTCAAGGAAGCATTGGAGTCCATAGGAGTGTCTGACTGTGAATATAGAAAGTTCTTGCAGCTGGTAGAGTAAACAAGCACTTTGATTTGAAGTTTAGTTTACTTTCAATACTCCCTCCCACTCCCACGGCTCTTCACAACTTGCTTTTGCTTCTTTACTTCAGGTTAAAGTAGAGTCTCTTCCACTGCAGGTTTGAGTATTATTTCCTCTCTGGCCTGACATCTGGCACTAGAGCCAAGCCAGAACTCCAAGGCCAGGCTTGGAGAAGATGGACAATTCCCAGACTACTCTTCCAGCTCATGGCCGTGGGGAAGGCTTAGTGGCCACAAGGAAAGTATTTTAGCTGCTCTTTACAAAACATCCCCACCCTGGCCCCAATTAATAGTCTAAGGTTACCAGCACCTTCTCCTTAGGGTTTGGGGCACAGGAGGGAGCCTACCCTGGGCTAGGCCCTTGGGAGCCTGTGGGGTGGGGGGCAGTACAACTCACATTCACATCCCCAAGAAGGTGGCCTGTTCTGGGCCTCAGGTGAATGACTCCTGACCTTCTCTGCCCCTGGCTTCTCCCAATCTGGAACGGAGGGATTGTGATTCTTGGTGACATCTTCATATCAGTTTCCAAATGTTGGGGGAAATCTGAGGTATTATGAACATCCTCCCTTTGCAGTGATATTTACCTGCAAATGTGAAAGAGGCGGGTGCCAGCCCATGCACGCACACAAGTAATTTCACCCTCTCCTCAACGACCTCAGAGGGTGCGCCAGGCCTACCCCACACCAGGGTGCTAAGCCACCTGCTCGTCCCAACTGCAGACAAAACACCGTCCTTAATTAAGTTCTTTCCTGTCGGCTGCCAGGTGCGCCCTTCCGCGGGATGGTGTTAATCCCAGCCTCCGGGAGCAGAGACCCAGCCCCCTTTCCGGACACATCGGCCCTTGCGCTCAGCCCCTACCTGGAACCCCCCCTCCCGCGCTCCATGGCCCCCCTTCCCACGGACGGGGGAGTTGCTTGTTACGCTGTCTTGCCGGGAATTCACGTTCAGCGCCCACCCAGGCGAGCCCCAGCAGGTATATAAGGACCTAGGACAGCGACAGGGACCAGGCAGCGGGGAAGGAGAAAGAACGGAGGAAAAGTGAAGGACGGAGAAGAGGCCACCGAGCATCCTCGCTCCGGCTCAGCGGGAGTCGCCCGGAGAGCAGCCTCCCCGCAAACAGGTAAGGGCGCAGCGGCGCGGAACCTCGCTCTCACCCCGGAACTCCCTGTCCCGGGAATGGGGGGTGCTCTGGCCCAGCTCTGATCGCTGACTTGAGGCACTTTGGCTCCCCGCGATCCGGAGTTCTTTGAAAACTTTCTGCACTGAGTGCGGCGTGGGAAGCCGCTGGCAGCAGAGCCGCGAGGGCCAGCCCCGGACGGGGGGCGAACCGCTGCGACGCTGAGCGGTGCCTTCCAGGAGCTGGAGGCCCGTCTTCCCGCCCCGCCCCTGGAGTGGGGGCTGCTAGGACCCCTGAGACTCCTACCGCCTTCTGGGGTAGATGTCGGGAGAGCTCGGTTCTTTGGCTCCTCTTCCTCCCGATTTTCTGGGTAGGTGTCACTTAAAAGATACTATATACTCCAGCTCAAATTAACATTAGAAAGGGGAGCAGGAGAGAAAAGGCTAAATATCACTATAAACTCTTTGTATTCTAAACTTTTTTGGATTCAGATCCCCGAATCCTCATTTTTCTGCCCACCTCAGCGCACCCGATGTGGCTGCACTGTGATAATGACTTGGGTCTCCTTTATGAGACCCAGTTGGGGTTAAAAGAGGTGGCTGGAGCGGGAACTGTCCGAGGTCCTGAACCACCTTGTCTGTGCCCTCAAAAGCAATGCAGAGTGGACCTTCCATCCCGCAGACCCTAGGTTGCAGGGCGGATACAGCTGTTTGAACTGACGGAGGCTCAGGCAAAGAGGGTTTCCAGTTAAGGAGGATGAGTCTGCAGGGCATTCGGATCCCCCAAATTCTTGGTGTATAAATGGGGAGGTGGTGGTTCTCACAGAATGGCTGGAAGGAGCCAAGGAAACTAAAAGTGTGCATTTGTTTTGTAAATTGTTAGGATATGTAGAGATTATGGTTTATTCAATGACTTAATCCTCTGACACTTTTGTTTTAGGACTTGATGCATGTGCATCACGGTGCAAGGACAAAACTCAGCACCTCTGCTCCTCCAATATTTACCGAAGGGCGTGGCCAGAGTGCAATTTTAGAGTAACATACAAGATATTTTGTTTAGCTCACAGAGAATTCATCTACACATATGAAGTTCTAACAAGTATAGTTCTATTATAAAGCAGATGTCAAGATTAACAAACTACAGATTTCTATTTATTTTTCCAAGGCTTTCAATGATTGGATTATAACATTCTCTCGACTCACAAAATGCACAATATTTGACATCTCTCCATTACTATATTGCTCTTTAAAAGTGGCGCAAGGCAATATTTATCCATTGTAGAAAAATAGAAACTACACACAAGGAAAAAAACCCCAAAACAAAACCCAACAAGTTGCTTTCAGGAAACCTAGCCTTTCGGCAGTAGAGTGGAGCTCTGGGGTGGGGAGTGAGAAGGTTACCGTGTGTGCAACACGACCAGTGGCACAGGAGGTAAGGAAATGCTCTCTGGGGTTTTTCAGGAAGGTCTGAAATCATGAGGTAGGTTTTTAGAAAAATGGAAATCATTCCAGAATGGCCAATTTGGAGGAGAATTGAAATACAGTTGAGGAGTTGGTCAGACCTGTATGATTTTATTTCTTTCTCTACTAATATGTCATTTTACACTTGCCTACAATGATATATAACTACCATTTTCCTCTTTTTCTTGTGAATATGGGCATTTTTCTGATGGTATTGTGCTGCGTGGTCTCAGAGCTTTAGTATAAATTGCCTTGTCCCCCAAGTTCAGACTTCATACTTGAACTGGAGCAATGCTCTCAGTTGCCCCTTCGGCTTGAGATGCTGATGGGCCGGCTCACTGGCTGCCACCGCCACCTAATGGCTGCTCTGAAAACACTCAGGCAGTGCCTGGCCGCCATTCAGAAGGGAGCCCTGAGCTGGCTCAGGTTTTGGGGAAAGGAGTGGGGGTGGGGCAGAGAGAAGGAAGTGACTCTCTGAGGTAGACAATGAGAGCCAGAGATAACTTTCACTTCCAAAGCAGTCTCTGTAAAAAAGATTTGGCCTATGCCTCCACAAATGAGAGATTTCTTTTAGGCAAACTTATTTTAAAATGCAAATGTCCATTAGGGGAGACAAACAATTAGTTATCCTCACCTTAATTTGAATTACTTTTCTCATCTAATTAGGTTTCTTCTTAACAGCTGGTTAAGAAGTTCTTCTGAAATCCAAAATAATTATGGGTGGCTGGTGAGCTGATGACAGAACTCGGGGTCCCTTCGGGGGGTTGACCTGGGTGAGGGGGTCCATGACAGCATGAGAGCTAGAAGTAAGAGCTGGCCACAGGGGGCAAAAGGCAGCATTGGTGCTCCCCTCTTTACTGCATCCTGACCTCTTGACCTCAGCATCTGCCCAGAGGTACTTCCGACTTCTCCAAGAAAGTATCTTTGGTAGGTGTTCACAATGGGAGGTCATTCCCTTCTGTTCTGTGTATCCATCTTCTTCCCTTCTACACCTACAGCATCTTTAAGTCCCATTATTCCAGACTACATCTGATAACCTCAGAGAACAGAGGTCTGACATTTAATGCATTCCAAAATTACAGGGTTCTGGGAAATAGAGACCACCTGAGTAATTTGTGTACAGGACATCAAATCAGGTTGGCTGAGATTTAGGCTAAATTGGCCAGAGGTTTTATTTGCCTTTATGCAAATCTACTATTCATAGGAACCATAATTTCTGAGGAGTGACAAGATCTTGGTGGGGGAAGAGAGGAAAAGATCGTCTTGAGCAGGACTTTTGGAATCCTTGTCTTTCTCAAGTTACTCCTTCGATCTGAAGAGTTAGAACTATAGCTTCATGAATATGGTGAACTAGGAAAGCTCAATGCTGGCAACAGAACTTAGCCTTACTCTGCCGTGAACACCCGAGTTATTGCCTCTTTCTAGACCTCAGTTTCCCCATCTCTCAAATAAGAGGCTGGACCAAATGACCCCTAAAGTAGCTTCCAGCCGTAACCTCCTTTGGGGTCTGATTTTTAACAGGAGATAAAGGAGAAATTGCACACGTTTTGCCCAGATCCTACTCCCCCTCTCTCTACCACAGTCCGCACCACCACCCTGCACACCAACCTTCTTGAACTGCTTCTGTCCTCAAAAAGCCTTGCACTCCACAAGTGATTGCGTTGTTAATGTTGGCTCCCGGTCCTTCCTGGTGAGTGGCCAACATTGTCCTGCTCCTTGCAGGGGTCCCACCAATCTTGTTTGTCTCTGCAGAGCCTCAGCCTGCCTGGAAGATGCCGAGATCGTGCTGCAGCCGCTCGGGGGCCCTGCTGCTGGCTTTGCTGCTTCAGGCCTCCCTGGAGGTGCATGGCTGGTGCCTGGAGAGCAGCCAGTGTCAAGACCTCACCACGGAAAGTAACCTGCTGGTACGTGGGGCATGGCCATGATCTTGTTTTGGGCATCAGATGGAACTGGG